CTGATATTGGCAACACAAAAGGTACTAGTTAGAAAGAAGTTATCAAACAGGCAGGTAAATACATGTGTAGAACATGGATTACTCTATTAGATTTACCTAGAGAATAGTTAAGTGTCCTAAGGAAGGAAGCAAAATGTAGTGATTTTACAAAAGCTACCAACTATATAGTAAGTTATATCCACATTAGACATGGACTTTGCTGAATATGTTGTAACTAGAAAGTTTAAAATAGGTAATTCTGTAGGTTATAGAAACCCCTAGTATAGCACTAATACTTCAGATGAACTATTTAAATTAGGCACAAAAGTACAAATGTAGCTTAATATATCTTTGTCAAAATTAGGGTGTCTGGCATGCCAAAAAAATTTGGCATGCCACATGGCATGCCATCTGCCCAAATCTGTGCCAAGATGCCACCCCAGCATGCCATTAGCACGTTGCATATGACATGAACTTAAAGATATAAAGTTAATATCGATATCGAATATCTTATCGAAAGTCAAAAGCACTGTAAATTTTAATCAAAATGCGTTATACTAATAATATAATGCTTTTAAAATAGTTTACATAAATAGTTTACATATTTCAACGTCAAAGCACCAATTCCTATTTATTAAAGTACATGTTAAACTTCTGGTTTGTAAGTATAGAGTTTATTCTAGTTCTCTCAAGAGAAATCTACATAAACTGATCTGAATAACTAACAAAATACAATAAAACCAATAGGTATACACATTATGAAGCTGATTGGGTTTAAAAATATTTTGAAACATAGTTATAATTTTACTAGTAAACTATATAGTTGAATTACACTATTTATTGACTGATTCAAGCATTTTTATTATATAGCACTTTATTCTAATTACACATACTAATTACAATTGAGTGAAAATGTCATCAATTGACCAGTCTTCAGCGATAGAGTTTAGAAGACTAGTTGATGAGCTTTTTTCAACACCTTCTTGATTTTGTTCGAAGGCACCAAGGTCAAAAAATTTTTCTATCATTAGATCATCATTTATATTAACACTTACTATCTCAATATCAACTTCTAAAGATTTTTCTTCAAATCTGTCCTCCTCAAAAAAAAGATCAAAGTTGGAATTTTCAGTACCTGAAGTATCCATAAGATTTGTAGTTGTAACTTGTTCTTTAGTTTTTTTTTCTATTGTTTTGAAGAGCTTTTGTTGAAGGTTATGATAGAGCATACCAAGCATCCCTATTAAAGTAGGTGACACTCTATTTCGCGATTTTGTTTTTACTAGTCCTAAGCTAGAAAATAGACGTTCAACAGCTGCTACATGTGGGACGATTAAAAAAACTTTTATAGCAAATCGTCTAAGAAGTGAAGAACCTCTAAAAAATTGTGCCCAGAATGTGCGGGAGTTAATATCCTTTATATTTTTGTAAGTATCAAAGGGGGCATCCCCATTTTTATAATTAATAAGCTCTTTATACAAAAAGATCGCCTCTCTTTTATCAAAATCCCATGCTTTTGCTAACTCCAAAAAAGCTTTAACAATTAAATCTCCTGTCATCTGTCTTGACATAGAAACTTGCTTATAATATGAAGACAAAAAGAAGGCAACAAAATAAATATTATAAGAAAATTCACGGATTCATTTATCTATAGCTGCTAATGCGTAGTTTTTCAATCTGTCTATTGGAATATTTGTTCTTAAAATAGTAAGATGAATATTGATAAATTCTTTGAAAATATCGGCTAACGTAGTATTTCTTGATTCAAAGTGACCGATAGCATCAACAACAGGAATGAGCACTGTTACTAACATATTATTGTTAGCAAATGATAATGGCTACTGACTATGTCTCGAATTTCCGTTTTAATTGCAGGGTAATTTTGAGTTCCACTAAGATCAATACAATGAAGAAAACCTCTTTCAAATGCTTTTACACCCAAACAAACATTCGCAAGAGAGTACCATCTGGTTTCACAGAAGGTTGTAAGTGAATGCTGCAATCCTTATTTTTTTTGCCAATCTTGTAGTGTTTTAAGCCAAATATGAGATAATGTAAAAAAATTAACAAGCTTTTTAATAACTGAAAGCAAAGGTTTAAACGTGAAAATATTCTTTGCAAGAAGATTAAAAGCATGAAGACAACAGCGGATAGGAATTATATTTGAGTATTTTTTATTAAGATTAGTTCACATTCTGACCATAACTGAAGGATTATCGGTTACGCATGCAATAACAAAATTTATATTGACCGAATTTAATTGAAGGGTTTTTTCAAATTGCTCTCCAAGAAAGTAGCTGTGTGACAGTTTGCTAAAAGATCGACAATGTCTAAAACATATTCCTGATCCTCTTTCAAAAGACATAAAACCATAAATTGAATTTCGAGATACATCTTGCTATCCATCCAAGGCAATAGTAATATTGGTAAGAGATGCCATCATTTCAAATTTATAGCTAGATAAGTAGAGAATGAATTATTAATAATTTTAGTACTCAACATTTCAGCTGAGGGTGAGTTATAGTTTGAAGCAAGTTCATTTAAGAAGTCAAGAAAGTAGGGATTTTTAACGATTTTAAATGGAATATTTCCATAAATGATAGTATCTAATAATTTTTTATCAACTTTGGCTTGTCTATCTTGTGGAATTGGTTTACACCAATTCAACAGACTCTCTTGGCACTTTACTACAAAGGCAGAAGGGCTATTTGCTGCATCATTAGCACTATCAGATCTATAAACTTCAAATTAGTTAAGTATTTATTATATTAACAAATTATTTATAAAAACATATTGTGACTGTTCTTGATCCAAATTAATCCAAGCCCTTTTATTACGAGATTTAGGGACAGAATTGGCTGCCTTTCTAATATAATCACCTTTTTCAGTAGCAGGCCAGTTACTACATGCAAGAACATGGTTATGCAGCTTTTCGGGTCTATCAGAGAGTTTGGATTTATAATAAATACACTTGGCTTTATATCTATTGCCTGCAACTTTTTCAGAAGAACGCCAAAACCCGGTCCAACGATAATCATAATTTGTCATGTTTGGACAAACAAAACTAGTAGGCGGTTGGGACTCCATAGTGTTATTGTGAATTTAGAGTTTTATATAGAATAAGATAAGTTTTTTATTTACTTTGAATTTTAGAATGAGCAAAATTCATGCGATAACTTTTTTTTAACATAATATATAGAAAATTCGATGCTAATTACTAAATTACTTTATTGATATGAAAGATGTTTTGGCTTACATAATGACAGATGAAGATTGAATTCATATGAAAGGTTGTTCAATAAGATATATAGTTAAAGAAAATTATACTTTTTCACATATCTCGTTCAAATTCTCAAACATATAAAAATCCACAGGAGTCTATTTCTACTGGTACGTACATGATAAAAAAAAATCAATAATCAAATATTGTAACGGAAGGCGTTGCATTATGTGCAATTGGCTTTATCATTACTTTGAATTGTTAATCGAAGAGTCTTAATAAAACCGAATTATAATATAGAATGGTTTGATAAGATTGGGGTTTTTTTCTTTATTAAATTATTAAATATATGCATGTTTAATTCATACTTTTCCGGTTAATTAATCTGTTGAATGCATTTTCTGTAAAGAATATATCCATCTTTATCAACAGTAGTATCCAATCTACTCATTATATTATGAAACTTTATTGCCATCACGCAACTCTCATGTTATTATACATACAGCTTCGTACAAGGTGGCTTTAGCTACATAAAATTAAATTTTACAGAGAGATTGTGTATGCTAGTCTCATGTTAACATGTGCATGTCTCTCGAAAAACCAGATTTAAAACATGCTATCAAATTATTTAATAATGCTAAAAAGGAAATTCAATTAAATGCATGTGCATACCTATTTATTTACTAAGCCACTTAGTGGCATGCCAAATTGATTTTTGGCATGCCAGTGGCATGCCACCATTGGCATGCCTGTGCCACTGTGCCAGACACCCTAGTCAAAATGTATTGTGCTTATCTCTACTTAATAAAATGCCCCAGGCTAAAGAGGTTCCCTTTAACATCAAAAAAAAAGTATAATTTAAATAGTAAACTTTAAGTAAATTAAAATAATTTTTTTAAAAAAATACTGTATTTAAGTTAATAATAAAGTTAAAAATATATTGGCAAAGAATAAAAAAATAAGCAAGATGAGTTTATTTAGAAAATAAAAATAAAAACATTGTAAAGAGTTTAAAAAAATTTAATTTTAAAAATTAAATTTATTTAGTATAGAAGTATGAAATATAGTTAAATTTATATTGTTTAGAAGCAAAAAATTAAATAAAATAAGTTTAATTAAAAGCTAAAATAAATTAACTAAACTAGCTTATTATAATTTTGAGATATTATAATTAGTTTGCAAAGAAAGGTTGGGTTTAAAAATTTATAAAAAGAATTAGATAATTTACGTCTAGTGTAATCTAATTAAAATTTGTACTTTGTATTATTTTCAAGTTAATATTTGGGTATATTTAGTTTATTATTTATGTTTTTGTTAGTCTATTTATATATTTTTATATTATTAGTCTAGTATTTTTTAAATTTCTATTTTACATTACAGTATAATATACTGTATATATAATCTCTTGCTAATTAGTAAATTAAAATAACTGCAATACGAATTAATTAGCCAAAAAAAGTATGAATCTCCGTTAATGTTCAAAGCTTATTCGCAAAAATTTTTCTTACTGCAAAATAATTTTATTTTTTTTCTTAAAAAAAAATATTATTGCTAGTTAATATGACTTAGAAAACTAAATAACCATCTTTTACATGCGTGTAATGAACGTCACTGACATATTCCGTAGTGATACCAAGAATGGATATATTCAATCGACTTTTAATGTATGAATTGTTATGAGCATAACATAGTATTGTGCGAGTTTTGTTATCAAGAATGTATTTGATTAGAAGCTAACTATGACAGACGATAATAAGCACAATTACACATCCTGACGAACCTATTTCATATTGTCGCTCCGCTACCTAGTGTTTACATATGCTTTAAACCCACTTTCCAGCAAATCACGATATACAGCATATATTGCCGGAATAATTGGAGGATATGGTGCGTACTCGTATACAGTGACATCTCTAAAGAAAATGTCGCAGTAATCAATAACTCTTTAAATCATACTCGATTCATATGATTATTTACAAACCTTTTATTATTCCAGACATCCATTTTAGATATTTCTCCAAATTCAACACTTTTGTTTAAAGACAAAAACTTCCATTCGGAGAGAAAAGCTCCTTGAACAAAAGCAACTTCGTAAAATTCTTCCTCGTGCGGACATCGTCGTTGAATAAATCCATTTAAGAAAAAGTTTCGAATAACTTTATATTCACAATTTTCAAGTACTGACGGATCTAAACTTTCATTATATGCTGCGGTAAACTGAATTTTGACTGAGTTTGTCCAAAATCCTTCAAATTTTGAAATTACTGTTGATACCATAGTAGCATTTCCATCAGGCAAGTATCGAAATTCTCGAATTTCATACAATCCAGATGTCCAAAATTTGGGTATTGGGATAATTTCCGCTATTTTAAATACTCCACCTGGTTCATAGAAAGACTCCTTTTCAAAATTATCCATTGAGTTTGTTGTAGAAGTATAATTGGTTATACTGTCATTGGTGATACTATCAAACTCAACGGGAAGGGATTCAATAACATAAAAGTACCGGTTTGGTCGAAGCTGATATGCTTTTGGAATTTGCGAAATATCTACTGGTAAATCAAGTTCAGGCGTCTCACCAGTGAAAGAAAGAACCACGATTGTTCCGATAAGTAGGACGATACATAGACACGAGCAAAATGTATCACGACAATTCTTTGGTTCAATTTGTCTTCCTATTTGAATAAGGGGAGTCCTCTCATTATTCCTATCATCCGACATCGTAAACTGAATTAAATTTGTGAAATTTTTAGACCATTTTATATTTATTCAGCCTTAGTGTCACGTATGTTTGTGCTACCATTGGGCGTCATGAGATTGTGACGTTTTATGATTTATTGATTTTACAAATATATAGGCTTTGGCCACATTTTGTCATTATCTACATCCTAAAAATTTACTTTCTCTTATAAGTATTTTCTTCTTTCCTGTTTTTATTTTACGAAATGGATTATTGATGAAATTCTTTAAAATCAAAGATTAATTACTACATTGTCGCTATCGTAACTCTTAGATAATCTTATCTTTCACGATAATAACTATGTACGTATGTACGTACGTACGGCTTTAATTATGAAAAATTTTTGTTTGAACAGTGCAAAAAATCGTGTAAAACTGTATTTCGGGCTAAACTACTTTTCCAAGTCTGAATAAGAAATAATTTCGCCAAAATGAAATACTTTCGGTTCAATTCGCAAAATACATTTCGCGCGAAATATTTGACTAGAGTATTTCGTTCAGGCGCTTCTTTTGTGCTAGGTCATGCGTACAGGGGGGAACGTTAAAGCCAGGTTCGTTTAGGGTTAGTTTTTTTGATGCAGTTAGGGTTATTTGCTTTATAAAGATTTCAAGAACGCAATTTATGCAATTTGTAGATCATTATGTAAACGACATTATTTCGGGGTTAAAGCCAGGTTCGACCTTTTATGGCATTGTCTAAATGTGCACATGCGTACGTATGTAAATCATTTTGATCTTTAAAAGAATAAACATCTGTCGCCCTCATTACATGATATTTTTGTCACGGGTCATGGGTATATATATATATGAGCAATGATTTTCATCAATATATAATAATTATTTGTTTTTTGCACTACACATATTAATCCTTCTTTTTAGGTGAAGTCATCATAGTTAAAAGTCTCGATAATACCTACTCAACCTTAACTATATATTGCGTTTTACCACTAGTTTTAAGTTTATAACAGTTTTTTTACAATTGAATCATGACTGTTAATTCCAATATAAAACTCAATCTTAACCTACACATTGTGTGTCGCAATAGCAAAAGTTTTTACAGCAAACCATAACAGAAATCATAACTGTAATTTTACAGGTCCAAAGCATAAATATTAGGTACCCGATAGCTAACTAATTTGCCAAAAATCTGATCTATATTGGCAATATGGGGTTGAGTCAATAGAAATCAAGCAAATATTTTTTAATAAGTTTTTTTAAAACTTTAAACAAGGATAACTTA